CTTCCTTCTTCTCGTCTTCTTCTCTCTCTTAACTTGAGTTCCCTTTGTGAAGAATGATGGCTCTAATTATAGTTTTTCTGGAGTGGCATGGCTCGTAAATAGGTGTCAGATCAGGGGCGAATAGGAAATGGTTTGAATGGACGGCCGATATTGAACCCTTCAATCGTGCACCGTTCGTTGGACATTTGGAGGCCTTAATGATGTCAAAATTCGATGATCTTGGGCTCGTTGGATTCGTCTCGTCGAGCCACTCGATTCGCGTATAAGCTCGTTAAAATCGGAGATAGTTTGGTAACTCAAATTGCGGTTTGAGTCTTCCAACAGCGCTTCGGGTCCATGATTCGGACCCATTTGGGCTCGGATTGGGTCGAATTTGGTGTCGTTGGGTTCGTATTTCCGAGACGCTCAGTTTAACTATAAGCTTGCTGAAATCGGAGTTCAAATGCTTTTGATTTTAATTTTTGAAGTTTCCAACTAGATTTTGCCTCGAGATTCGTGCCCGATCAAGCTAATTTTGTGATGCCGTATCAATTGCCCCCCTATTTTCGGACGTCGTAGCTTTAGGAGTCCGAAAAAATGCGTCACAATTTTTTAGAGAATTTTTTCAAGCGAGTCAGAATTAATCTTTAGTACAGGAGCTCCGGACGGCTCTAAAAGTGCCGAAATTGAGTCCAGGACATCGAAAAACGGTCCCGGGGACCCCAAAAACGTCGAATTTGGACTTGTCGGTGTGAAAAACGGGCCCGAAATTGCCTTGATCTGCGTGGTGCCTCGATTTGCGAGCATTTTGTCTCGTTTAACGTACCAAATTTGTCAATAATCGTAATTTGATAAATTGATAGTGTATTTAGGGTATTGCCGACATTCTGGTAACAATGAAGTAGTCCTTTTCACGATCGGACATCATTTGGGCGACACCGAGGCCAAAATCCCTCGAAATGCGCATTGTTGCTTTGGAATTGCCTCGATTTACACACGCAACCTTATTCAAATAAATTGATAGTGTATTTAGGGTATTAATGGTGTTTCGGTCTCAACGACGCACTCTATTTCGAGATTGGACATCATTTGGATAGCATCGAGCGAACGTTTTCTTGAAATTTGTGCTTTCCCTCGGGATGCTTATCAACCTCTCTGCATGTTTTAATTTGCACAATTTTACTGTCATTCTTAAGTATTTGGGATGTTTTGAACACGATGGAGGAGTCTATTTCGCACTCGGACTTTGTTTTGGTAGTGTCGAGGCCTATTCCTTGAAATTTATGCTTTGCCTCAGGATTCGTGCCACCACCTTTGATGCTTCAAATTTAATAAACAAAATATAGTTTTTAGAGGTTGACAACATTCCAGACGCAATGAGGAAGTCTATTCGTAAATTCGACGTCATTTGATCAGACTCGCACTTTAATTTCGGGTGTCGGTCATCCCTTTTGACCGATCTCATCCGGTTCGACTGCGAGGGGCCCCGACCTAGCAGAATTCGACGTCTTAATCACAACAATGTCGTCCATTTGGCAATCAGAGGTCGTTTGACCCTTCAAGTGATGTGCGTCGCTGAGGCGTGTATCGCTTTATTCACCAGTTTGGGTCCTTTCTTGAGTGGTTTGAAATATAGGGGTCAACATCATCCCAAATAGATCTTTAATATAACAAAATTCAATCCATGATTTTTTTTCACTATTTTTATAATTAGAAGTTTAAGGTAATGGCAGTTAGGGCTATGGAAGGAATACTACGCCAGCAATTACTTGGCATTCATTTAAATTGTTTTCAGGGCAGAAATTAGGGTTAAGTAGCAATGCATCTTTTAGAATTTTATTTCACCCACTATCTCATCTTTGATCAAAAATTTCAAGCTTGGTTGACCACTATGGTGGAATCAAAGGAAAGGCAAGGGGATGGCTCCCACTGACTTTAATTTGGAAAATAGTCTTTATAAATATGTTTAACATAGAAATTTTGCCCTTAATTTATCCTATAATTAATTATGGATATTTTAGAAATTTTTATGTTTAAAATTGAGATAAATTTATTCAACTCTTCGTACTAATTGACCATATATATATATATATCCTAATTTATTCATAGTTGGTGTTGAATTTTGGAAGATGTTCGGAGTTTAGAAAGGGCTTGCCTATCATAGATCTCTTTATTCAAAAATCGCCAACGAACTCATCTACTCTCCCTGAGGCAGATGATTAAAATTCAAGGAGAGCAATATCTTCTCTACCAATTTGAGTGTGACACGTGTTATGGTAATCTGTATTAAGAGTCATTAAGCCATATATTTTTTGTTAATTATACTTAGTACAACAATTCATTTAGCACTCGAATCCCTACATAGAAAGAATGAAGAGGAATTTTTTGAGTTTCTCTCTCTCTCTCTCTCCATCCTCATAAGCTGTTAGTCATATTCATATAACTCATATGCTAACAAAGTTAGGTATCACCCACCTTTTAGATTCTTACTCTTCTTAGAGTAGGATAATTTATTTTCTTCTATATTAATCTGAAAAGGCGATACCAATATCCTTTTTGAAAGATGAGGACAATAAAGTCATTTTAACTTGATGGGACTCATAAAACCTATCTAAATCACCCTCACCTAATTTAATTTTTAAAAAAAAGTGTTACATCCTAGGTCCGAAGGGAGGTACACCCTGGCTATACGGGACACAATGAAGGGATAGAAAAACTTATTTTGTATTCACAAAGTGAAATATATATATACAAGAGGTATAACATGATACACACACACACCGAGTAAACAGAGGGAGTGAAATAAAGAGCCAATTCATTAAGTTCAAATAGCAAATATATCAAAATAACAAGAATTCTGATACAAGCCAACAAAAATATAAATAGAACGAAAAGCTGAAAAAAAAAATGCAACCCTCAGAAAATATAAACATAATCAACTACTATAAAATAATTAATATAAAAACAATCTATTATTGATAACCCTACTCCTGAGATGAAGGTCCACCAAACATGCTTGTAGGACCTAGTGAAAAAGACAATATGTGAGTTTGATAAATCAAACTCAACAAGTATTTGTTCTCTCTCAAAATACAGATGAAAAGGAAACAAGGCATACAGTATGAGCAACCAAAAGAGGAGAGTAGTACTCTATAATCAATATATCCAAAAACCACCATGAGATATGCTATGTTTTCAACATCTTCTAATATGCATGTATATGTGTCAAATAGCTATTGATGTTAAATTATTATAATGTTTACAAATGCATCACGTACACTAGATATTCATGTGCATCACAATGACTTGTAAGTCATATCTTGTTTCCAATTCATATCCACTTATATTTTCTTGCATATATAGTTTTTTGTTGATTTACTATATACCCACCACCCGGAAGGTAAACACCAACCCAAGAAAATCCAATGATTTCCTATAAAGTCATAGTGGGCTCGTCGACCTCGATTAGCCAAAAATCAATTGTGTTCTACCGACATATATACAATCATACAAAGCGATATATTTTACAAAAAAAAAAAAAAATCAACAGGTATTATATAAATCAACATGACAAATCATAATTTATATAACTAAAATAATTTACAACAAAAGTATCATGTACTGCATTAAATAAAACTAATGAGTATAGATTAAATTTTTCTATAGCATAAATCATTTAAATGTTAAATGTTCTTGTATCAGCAAATCAAGATAATATTATTTCTATTGTATGATGATTTCAATGTGAGCCATAAATAAGATCCCTGACATGCACAATACTAATAAATATTGAAAATAGAATTGACAACCTAAATAATTATAAAAGAATTTTAATAGAAATGTTACGAATTATACCCCTAACAAAGAAGGGTACGTTTACACCAAAATAAATAACAATTACTTACAATGACTTCCACAAGCTCCAACCTCGAAAGCAACTCGCTCGACTCCACCTAACAACAATCCCAAGTAGCAAAATCACAATAACATTAAGCACGTTCATCGAGGCATAAAGAAGAGTATCCTAATCAATCTTAACCATGCCATAATCATCAAAATAATCACTAAATAATATGATAGACTCCACAACCAACAAAATACTCTATGAAGACCAAACTTAAAAGAAGCTCCACAACAAAACTTGGATTAATGATACTTTTAACAGATGCAAGATAATATATAATTTTGATTAATTCAAATATCAACTTGAATAAGATTTCCTTCCCAAAGTCAAAAAAGTTCATCATAATAATATTTCAACAAAGTACAAATCAAGTAACATAAACTCCATTAAAGAGAACATTCATCCTACACCTTGGCAATGAATAAAAATGAAGGATAGGGGCAAAGAGAGAATTTAAACTCAATATCAAAGGAAAATTTATTGTATGCGGCTATTGCGAGAAAGAAGCGAGGGAGGATTTTGGCGGCTGCTTCGAGGGAGAAAAGAGGAGGTTTGGCTGCTGCAAGGAGGGAAAGAGAGAGTGAACGGCAACTGCTGCGAAGGAGAAAAGAGGAATAAAAAATGATGCTTTAGATTCCAATTCGCCTTAAAGGATTGAGAGAGGGAACGAGGTGGCTGAATCCGTCAAATATGAGAAGAAATTACAATTGGAGGAAGAGACATGCTTAAGGGCAAAGGGAGCGAGCTGAGATGATTCGGGATTCGAGCGAATGAGTCAAATCAGCTGGTTTGCGCGTGGGGAGAAATCCCGGACCGATCCAATCCGATTATTATAAAAAGAAACATTGAGAATGCCCAACCAACTTAAGTCTGATTTTTCTGTTCTAACAATACCAACTATATATATTCAATTGTTATGATTTTGAACCAATTTATTATCATTCCAATTCTCCAACTCGATCTTAAATTCAAAAAGAGGGAAATGACAAATATGAAGATAGAGGAAAAATAAAATATTAAATACGTATATATACACATATTTTGTAAATCCAAAAAAAAAAATTGTACTCATCAAATAGCTTGGAAGAGGTGGATAAAAAAGAATGTTGACCAAAGATACTTTAGCATTAATAATCTAAGAGTAAAACTGCTTTTTAGCCTACTGCAAAAAAATGTTTATTACAAATGACACCATTAAAAGCTGCTAAGAATTTAGTTGTTAATGTTACACATGATCAAACATTTACAAACAGCAGCAGCATCATTTCATTCATCAAGATCACCAACATCAATATCATCATCACCATCATCACTGTAATCTGCATCAAATTCATCCATGGGGTTTGCTACACTATTCTGGAAGTGGTGGATAAAAGATTTAGCATCAGAGATGAGAGCCGACCTCGCCGCTTTCAGAGCGCCGCGCTCCGGCTTGCTCAAACACTTTCTGTTGCCTAAATCTTCAACTTCTGATTTTTTGGCAAGCTTCACTCTCCTAGCTTCCCTGTGATGCAGCTGGTCAATGTATCTATCATGCAAAGCTCTATTCTTTATCTGCTTCAAAACTTGGGGACTGGGACCATCTGGAGAAGTTAATAGTTTGAACCTTGAGAGCATCTTTGAGTTAGCTGAGAATTTCTCAACAGATTGTTGAGAAAGTAAAGGAGAAGTTGAAGTAGTATTCAGTGCATTCACTGCAATTTTGATTGGAGAAGATTCTAGAAGAGAGAAATGGTCTGCTGGTTTTGTTAGATCGGTGAGGCGATGCTTCCTTAGGAGAAGCCTCACAGTCTTTTGTGCAGCAAGCTTCTTAGCTCTGCATCTTCTGAGTCTTCCAGCTTCGATTTCTGGAACTTGTGGTAAAATATTGGCTGAGAAGTTGAAGTTGGTTATTGGAGATGGAATTTGATTTTTTGTCCTTGGCCGAGGTTGAGAGGAAAGTGGGGTTGCGATGCTGGCATGGATTTTATCGAAGCATTCCTGGGCTGATTTTCCGGGCACCTACAGATTTGATTGCATTCAGTTGTAATGTTAGGGAGCAAATATATAAATATTCCTTTAGAATATGATGTATGGTATAATAGAGTTGTAAAAGGTACATGTTAGGAAAGGAAGAATATTGGCATCTAAATCATATGTATAGTGATATCAACTTTGGTTTCAAAATCAAGTTTAAGCTTCATTTGGGATAATTTTCTAACTCTTTTCTAAAGCAGCTTTCTATTGTAAGAATTTTCTGAATTAAAAATTTTATACGAAAAAGTGATATTAGAAAGCAATAAAAAGCTGTCTCAAATGTAGCCTTAGTTTCTTGATTGGATAATAAAATGATTAATATGTTTTTTTTTTCATATTTTACTATTCAGGGATCATAAAAAATATGTGCTCGTACAACCACATTTAAAAAATAATAATTCAATAAGAGGACGATAATAAAGCCATAATAAGAACAAGAAAATTTGTCATGAAATTGAAGGATCTGATTGCTTTTTCTCAAAGCATCTATCTGAAAAGAATCACATGATTGGGACACCATGCAGAAGATAACACCAAACAGAGGTTCAAATGAATTCGCTACATTCTTAATGATTTTTCACGGCAAAGTTCACGAGGATTCAGAGAATATACTTATCGCAAGTACATAGGATGAGAATTAAAAAACCCCTCTTTATCACAAAGTCCTCTTTAGATCTACATTTGCGCCTTGATCAAGGTTTTCAGCATTGAAGAACGACGTTTATTGTCACGGGGCAGGTTTTTTTTTTCTTTTTAGTGATTGTTTGGTTTGAATTGTTTTGGGGGTAAAATATTTCATATGTAATAATTTTTAAAATATAGGTGTTTGGTTTGATTAAAAACAATTTCAAAGTAAAATTTTGTTGAATTTTAAACTCACCTGTGAGGCTATTTTTTGTGTTTCAAAATAAACTGATTTGATTGATTTCTCAATAGACCGCAAGCCATCGCCATACTGCCACGTATTATTACTACCATCACCACGCAAATTATTGCTGTCAAGCTTTAAATTGTATTCATTTTTACTTCAAACTAAATAAAAATAATAATCTTCTATATTAATTTTACACTCACAATCAAATTATTCTAAAATATTTCAAATACGCTGCATTTATTTTCCAGTATAATCTTGATACTTTGCATTATCTTTTTTAGCAAATTAAACAACTCATGAGCAAAAATCATTCCCATTTTACAATCAAGTCAACGCTCTAGACTTCAACCTTTATGCAACTTACACCTACACAAGCTACAGGAACAAAGAAAACGCCCAAGTTTTTAAGGAATTATTACTCCCAACCTTTTTATTCACCAAGAATTACAAGGAATTATAGATCATAACAAACGTCCCTAAGTGTATAAAACAAACATATGCACAATGCACACATTATACTTATGACATACAAGAACATTTGTAGGGTTCCAAAATTCGGTGATTCAAGATCAGATTTTCATAGGGCAGATTAGATTGAAAATAAGATACTAACTATAGATTATGTCATCATTTCACCAGAGTTATGATCTGGTTTTTGAATTTTCGTAGGCATAAGTCACTATTGTTCATTATCCTTTTCATCAATAATAGAGAACTTTTGATTAAGGCTATTCATTAGAAGATATATAAGTTAAAATTTATTACCTTATATTTAAAATATAGTTGGAGGAATGATGACAAACCAAATCAAGATCTCCATGGTTCCTTCATTCAAGATTGTTATGGTCCCTAGTCTACTTAGTTAAAGAAAGTAATCGGCACAACTTCACCGAAAAACTCTTGTCGACAACTATGGGTCATTTTGTTCAAGGGAATCTTGTACACCCAAGAAGGATGTTTGTCTAAAAGGATAAATTTTAAGCCGACCTTACATGACAGAGTGTTTTGTGCCTTATGAAGTGCACTTTTATGATTTGTTACACAAATTTTATAATCATTAGGGAACTTGTGGGCTAAGAATGTAACCGCAATTCAAAAATGCCTAATGAGAAGGCCCTAATCATAAATGTATACATGTGGTGTTATTTGGTGACAAACTTATTAGTTGAATGACAGATGTTACATCCTTGCTAACAAGAGATTGTTTGAAAATGAAATGAAGTAAAATGCTCAACAAGATATTGGTTATTTGTGAGCTGAAGTTATTTTCAAAATTATTATCCTCGACAACCAATTCCCAGGGGTAGATGAATTTTACTTTAAATTTTAAAAAGTGGTAGATTTCACTAGAAATTTTTTTAGATTTTAAAAAATATTGAATTTTTAAATTTCATCAGAGTTTAAACTACAATAATTAACTTGTAAATTTGGGGGGGAGGGTTTTGAGAGTAAAATCCCCATTAATTGATATTTTTTGTCAGTACGACTATTAATCGGGTAACTTTGATTATTCTATTTTTAATATTTAAACTATCAGCTATATCTGATTGGCAATAGAAGATCAGATTCAAGAATCAACTCTGTGAGTTGTCGTGGGCTCTGAAAATTTGTGCCTCGGCCTATCCGCAACCTTTTTTCTTTCTTTCGGGTCCTCGAGGAAAGTTTTAAAACTTAAGTTCCAAGGCAAATTTTTAGAAGGTTGATTGGATTGTGAATAAGATATCACTCGGAGATTTCACCCTCATTTTGCAAGGACTTTATGATCTGAGTTGAAGTTTCCTATAGACGCAAACCCCTATAGTTAATTACCCCTCTCGATAGCGAGAGAGAACTTTCGATCAAGGCTAGTCGTCAAATAGATGCAAAGTATTTGGCATATAATAACAGCATGTTTAGGTATTTGAAAATTTCATATTTAAAATTAGAAATTCACCACCTTGCACTTAAAGTGGATGGTGGGGGGGGGATGATGAACCCGATCAAGATCCCATGGTTCCATCGTCTTGGGTCATCATGATCCCAGGTCTACATAGTCATAGGAGGTAGTCGACACAACCTGACAGAAGAATCCTTGTCGGTAGCCATGGGTTGCTTTGTCCAAGGGTACCTTATAGACCTGGGATGAATATTTTCCTACAACAACAACATCAAGCCTTTATCCCACTACATGGGGTCGGCTAGAATTTGAATCCACCTTAGCTAACAGAACGTTTTGTGCCATATCGGTCATATCCTATTGATTCATTACTCAATAATTTTAACATCGTATTTATGCTTTTATTAGTGAGTTTTCTTTGTTATAGACCTTGAAGACATAATATGAATGTATAAAATAAATATTACAGTCGATGCCACAACTGTATATTTGTTCGTTAGTTTGAACCATGTCGACTCCTATCTATCACATAGAAAGATCGAGCTCGAACTTAAGTTCATTTCTTGACATGCGCAACATCCTCAGATATCATGTGTGTGTATATATCAAGTTCGTCGGAGCCCATAGGGATAATCATATTTTAATGCATGAGAGGAGGCAATTTTTTCAGTAATCAGCTATACAAATGACCCCCATTGATAGACATGCAAGGTTTTGGAAAATTTGTAGACACCTTCTGTCCGCTTGTATGCATGTTGCGGATCCAGTAGCGTGGATAAACAGTGCATTGGACTTCATGTGTCATGCATTGGCGATGCAACTCACCTATTTTCATCTTTCGTATGTTGTCATCTTCTTCAATATTAAACCTACGGGAGTGTACTCCATCCTTCAAGCGAGCTGAACGTAGCATCAGGAGTCTTCCACATATTGTTTGTAAGCAGGCTGATTCAACTGGTGTGACAGCCTGGCGACGTAAGTTTACTACTTCAATTTACTAGTGGCCCGCAGTTTTTACTATGAATTCCATGCTTCTATTTACAGGTAAATTGTAGCGTTGCATTTTGTTCATTTGATATTTTACATAGGTTGATTGTTGTGCACTAACAAATCTCTTGCAATCGCTCATAGATGGCATGTAATGTGTATAAGGGGTCTCCAGCTCATAGGTGCTTGTGTTTGCTTGTAGAGGACCAGTGTATTTAACTGCCATTACATGGTCGTTGACTGCAAGGCATTGTAACATTCATTGCTAGTTGCTGATTATCAGCTGTAGACATGCTATTGACATATGACAAATCCTTCATTGTTGATAGGTGCTTGCATTCATTCACATACCCCTCATCCTTGCAATATATTTGTTGGTGCTGCTTGCAGGCAGATTGATGTGTTTGTTGCAACTCCTCATCAGTTTTTGTTGGGAATTCATTATACTTGCACCATATCCATTATCATCATTCGTAGACAGCTTGGTGTGTTCACTTGCATGTAGATGTTTGACCACTGACAGAGTTACAACCATCAATAATCTTTTCATGCACATTGGCTAGTGAGTTATTACATTCGTTAGACATCCGCGACCCTTTTTCTTTCTTTCAGGTCGTCGAGGAAAGTTTTAACACTTAAGTTCCAAAACAAATTTTTAGAAGGTTGATTGGGTTGTGAATAAGACATCACTCAGAGATTTCACCCTCATTTTGCAAGGACTTTATGATCTGAGTTGAAGTTTCCTATAGGCACAAGCCCTATAGTTAATTACCCCTCTCATAGCGAGAGAGAACTTTCGATTAAGGCTAGTTGTCAAACATATACAAAGTATTTGGCGTATAATAACAGGATGTTTAGGTATTTGAAAATTTGATATTTAAAATTAGAAATTCACAACCTTGCATTTAAAGTGGATGTTGGGGGGGGGGGGACGATGATGAACCTGATCAAGATCCCATGGTCCATCATCCCGAGTCATCATGATCTCAGGTCTACTTAGTCAGAAGAGGTAGTCGAGCCAACCTGATAGAAGGATCCTTGTCAGCAGCCATGGGTTACTTCGTCCAAGGGTACCTTGTAGACCTGGGATGAATATTTTCCTAAGTAGATAAATTTGAATCATCCTAGCTAACATAAGGTTTTGTGCCATAACTTTGAATGTCTAATATGAATGTATAAAATAAATATTCTGGTCAATGCCACAACCGTATATTTGTTCGTTAATTTGAGCCGTGTCGACTCCTATCTATCACATAGAAGGATCTAGCTCGAACTTAAGTTCATTTCTTGACCCACGCAGCATCCTCATATGGCATGTGTGCGCATATATCACATTCGTTGGGACCCATATGGATAATCATATTTTAATGCATGAGAGGAGGCAATTTTTTGCAGTGATCATCTATGCAAATGACCCCCATTGATAGGCATGCAAGGTTTTGGAATTTATAGATACCTTCTGTCCGCTTGTATGCATGTTGCAGATCCGTTGGTGTGGATCAACAGTGCATTGGACTTCATCTGTCATGCACTGGCAATGCAGTTTACCTATTTTCATTTTTCGTATGTTGTGATCTTCTTCAGTAGTCAGCCTACGGGAGTGCACTCCATCCTTCAAGCGAGCTGAACGTAGCATCAGGAGTCGTCCACATGTTTGTAAGCAGGCTGATTCATCTGGTGTGACAGCCTGGCGCCGTAAGTTTACTGCTCAATTTACTAGTGGCCCGCAGTTTTTCTATGAATTCCATGCTTCTACTTACAGGTAAATTGTAGCATTGCATTTTGTTCATTTGATATTTTACGTAGGTAGATTGTCGTGCACTAACGAATCTCTTGCAGTCGCTCATAAATGGCATGTAATGTGTATAAGGGTCTCCAGCTCATAGGTGCTTGTGTTTGCTTGTAGAGGACCAGTGTATTTAACTGCCATTGCATAGTCGTTGACTGCAAGGCATTGAAACATTTATTGCTTGTTGTTGATTATCAGCTGTAGACATGCTATTGTACATATGACAAATCCTTCATTGTTGATAGGTGCTCGCATTCATTCACATATCAACTTTTGTTAGTTCGCAAAGGACCCCTCATCGTTGTCATATATTTGTTGTTGCTGCTTGCAGGCGGATTGATGTGTTTGTTGCAACTCCTCATCAGTGTTTGCAGGGAATTCATTGTACTTGCACGATGTCCATTATCATCATTCGTAGATAGCTTTGCGTGTTCACTTGCATGTAGATGTTTGACCACTGACTTAGTTACACCCATCAATAATCTCTTCATGCATATTAGCTAGTGACTTATTACATTCGTTAGACATCCCCGACCCTTTTTCTTTCTTTCGAGTCATCGAGGAAAGTTTTAACACTTAAGTTCAAAAACAAATTTTTAGAAGGTTGATTGGGTTGTGAATAAAACATTACTCAGAGATTTCACCCTCATTTTGCAAGGACTTTATGATCTGAGTTGAAGTTTCCTATAAGCACAAGCCCCTAATGGCATGCATATTGTTTTCTTTATCGTGCTTTGAGTCAATTGTAGAGTTTGGTGATCTGTTGGGCTTTTTAATTTATATGTGGTTTAATGATTTCAGGTCTGGACAAATAATCAGATGTATGAGATTGATCAGATCAATATTATCCAGGTTTACTGTTAATTTATTTCGTTATGTCTTGTAGATATTCTTTTGTACTAAGGATTGCAACGATTTGTTGTGTTTGTACTGGAGATTCATGAGTATTGTACATGATTTTTTATCAAAGATTATAAATGAATATGGATGTTTTGATTGATAGACTTTATTTCCACTGATATATGATTTTATTATTGATAAATAAAATTAGATAGCTATGGTTGTTGAAAATAAAAGATAAAATAAAAAATTCTTCAAAATTTTGATTTTGGGGCATTACAACTCGTACATTGATGATATGTAATAGGTTTGACTATTTCATCTTATTTGAAAAATAGTCGCTTGATTGCAACTGTTTGAGATATGTTAGAGTCTGACGTAATAATTGTCATATGAGTGTACTATTATTACAGCATGCTCATGATTTCACATTTTAAGTTCATTATTGTTCACATTCTATCCTCTTGTGCATATGTTGCCCAATTGCGAGGAAAGTGAATTAGAATCTAAGCATAATTTTCACATTACCCATTCTTTTTGTCTTATATGATTGGATTTTAGTTATGCGGGTCCTATGGGTAATCATTTTTTCATCTATAAATAAAAAACTCTCAGAATATTTTTTGTCCAAAGTTTAATTCATCAAGTATGTCCTTAAATTTGTTGAGTGTTTAGTGTTGACCTGTTATGTCGTGCAAACAAAATAAAAAAAAATCAAAATCAAAATCAAATCCTACCTACTCTGCCGAAGCACGTCGCTCCCCACGTCGAGCCGTTCATCGCACGTCGTCGTGTCTCGCACATCGCTCGCACGACTCATTCGAGTCGTTAAAAGCCCGAAAGCAACGAGGCCTTCGGCCTCTTACGCGATCCCTCCCGCCGGGGCCGAATTTTCGGAGCCCACATTTAGGAGAGTTCTAGGGGCGAAAGGGGAAATTCTATTCATGCTCATTTGCAAGTTGTTGAATTCATTATAAGTCTCCTGTAAGTCCTTGTAAATTCAAATTTGTTCTTATTTTTGTAATTTTATTCTAGTTTTATCATTTTTACGCTTTCAAATTCAGCTAAATATTATTTTAATTTTCAATTTAATTTAAGTTCCCTTTACTTTGTTCTATTTGGGTCCCTTGCCAATGTAAATTTCAGCAACAATCCAATGTCTTCCCAGTATAAAGGGCATCATTGGTAGTGTTAGGCCTTCCCATTATGCCAATAAAGGTCAATAGAGTCGATGCCATAAGACACCAGGAGTCCCTTCTATCTCTCCTCACCAACAAAAACATGCATAAGTTTTTGTGTATCTGCTTAGAACTCATAATGTTTTACTGTCATAACACAAAAGATAGACATAAGTACTTAAAAATTTCCCTTTATGCAAACAAAAGAGGGAACCAGGCTTATTCAATGCGTCATGAATGTCGCTCGTGAATTTCTTTGCTATGCAAAAAAAAACACATGGTTTATGCTCATCACATCGAACGTGTTGCATTTAGAATTTTTTGATGATTTTATGTGTTTGCAAGCTTATAACTTCACATGTGAAGTGGTAATAACATAATGACAATGATGATGAGGCTAATGCTCCTCTCTTTCTTGAGAGAAAAGGGAGAGAGATAGAAAGTAAGATGAAGAGAGAGAGAGAATATGAGAGATAGAGAGAGTGAAAGTGATAGAGGTAGAGTGAGAGAGACAATGAGAGAAAGAAAGAGAGAGAGAAATAGAGAAAGAGAGAGGACTAGGGAGAGTGAAAGGAGAGAGAAGAGGAAATGGAGAAAGAAATATAGAGAAAGAGAGAAATAAAGAGAAAAGGAGAGATAAATATAGTGTAGGGAAAGAAAGTAGGTTAGTGCTTAGTTGGCCGGGTGGTGGCTGGCGGCGACTGAGTTGTGGTAAATAAAGAGATCGAAGTAGAAGAGGCATGGGTTGGGATGTTTGGGGAGCAAGCCGGTCAATGGCATATGTGGCAAGGGTCAAGGTCAGTGTTAGACTTGTTGGGAGTGCAACAAGAGGGGAAAAAGACCAGGCTACGGGTTGCTAATGGTTGGTTTGGGATTTGAGAGGGATAGAGGCTGGCCTGGTTGAAAGAATGGCCGGGTTGAGAGGGATGGTTGGATTGTGCAGGGTCAACGACAAGCTTGGGTGAGATTGAAGGGGGGAGAGAGAGAGAGAGAGAGAGAGAGAGAGAGAGAGAGAGAGAGAGAGAGAGGAAGCGAGTGAGCATGAGGCAGG